TACATGCATAGTAGCCATGTGACCATTCTCCCCTTCTTTTTTGGAAGTTTATAATTTCCACTCGCGTCTACACACTGGTAATTCAATAATCTAAATTATTTATATACAACTAAAATATTTGAAATGGACAAATTCCCATTGGAATGTGGGTTGGGTGAGTGTTTGGGAAAATCATTCCATCAAGAGAGGAAAGATCTGACTCCCCCACCCCTCAGATTTTAATGCCTCTAATTTCTGAACAAATTCTTTTGCTTCTTTCTCTCAGGAAGGAAAAAGATGTAATAGGTGGTATGAAAACTTTTAAATTTTGTAGCATGTAGCATTCATAAAGGCTATATGCCATACTTTTTCATTCTGTTCTATTTCATCTGGACCCACTAAGTTTATATCATGAGTTGATATTAGGTAATGACCTGTGGTTTGAAAAACACTCATACCGTAAATCCTTGAGTTTCCCCAGTATGAAATATGATATACAGGATGCTCCATATATTCCTTTCAGTTGCTATCAGCATAATATATCACATATGAGATCATCTTTATGTTTTGCTATGACTTCTTTGTCTTATAAACATTTAGATATGATATTAGTATATGTGCCTTCTTTTTGTATGTTTTTTTGTCCTTTACCATATGGATTTTGTGAGAGCAAGATCTTTGCCTTTATTTTTGATTTTTAAACAACTTGTGTTAAAAAAATATTTTGAAACTATGACAAACTTACAGAAGAATCACAAGTGAAATACAAAGAAATTCTTTGACTTTGTAAAGAATTGGAGAGTAGATTGCAGACCTAATGTTTCATCATCACCAAAGATAAGGAAGATATTTTTCTGTATAACTACAGTGTAACCATAACAAGTGGGAAATTGATACAGCAAAGCTGTTGGGATGAGGAGGAAAATAGAACAAAATATAATTAAGTGGACTTGACAGAATTTGATGAGTGCCTATATAAGGGAAAAGAGAAAGACTGTATGGCATTAAAAAAAGCACATCAGGGGCACCTGGGTGGCGCAGTCGGTTAAGCGTCCGACTTCAGCCAGGTCACGATCTCGCGGTCCGTGAGTTCGAGCCCCGCGTCGGGCTCTGGGCTGACTGCTCAGAGCCTGGAGCCTGTTTCCGATTCTGTGTCTCCCTCTCTCTCTGCCCCTCCCCCGTTCATGCTCTGTCTCTCTCTGTCCCAAAAATAAATAAACGTTAAAAAAAAAAAAAAAAAAAAAAAAAAAAAA